AGAAAATAACTAATAATTAGCATAGAATACATTATACTTTTCTCTCTTGTATATTTGATATTTTCTGTAGGATTTTTTAAAATCTGAAGAATAGCTACTTCTTCAGATGGACTTATAATTTTTATGTTCTCAGTGGATCATTTACAAAATTTCTGACAGGCTTATATGGAGGGTAGATTCTCTTCTTTAACGAAACTATTCCTAGTCTGTTTCTGTGTCCTCAACACCTGGTGTCTTGCAGTAATACAAGCATTTATAAAATTCAGAATCTCTTGTCCTGGGTAAGAATCAATACATTTAATTTTGAGATTGCCTTATTGGTGTTTTAAAGCAAAATTCCTTTTCCTACACATTTGATGTGTGGGAGATTTGTCTTAACAAATCTTACATGTCCTGCTGGCAACATTTGAAAGGCATAGCTTTCAAGAATTGTGCACCCATCTGTCAAGAGCCATAAAATTTTGTAATTTTAAAAGATCAACTTTTCCTCCGTAATTTTCTAAGAAAATATTTCTTTTGGATGTTGTTTATTGCTCACTGTACATTATTTTGAAATTTATAAACAGAAGCAGGTATGTGCATCAATATATGAATGAGTATTTTAAAAATATTTAAGTATAGTGCAGTTAACATGCATGGTTTATTATAACAGATATGCCAGTGCATTTAGTTCTCTTGGAATTTTGTGTTCTTCAGGGGTTCATAAGATTCTTTAAAATTTTGTTTGCTTTTGCAACTTATATATAAATTAATGTGCATTTATGATTGTAATGAAGTTACTGTGATTTGTCTATTGCATAAAGGACTTATCACTGTTACAGCTTTTAAATTTCTAAAGCCTACAGGTATAAACAGCAACATATTTCACTATCTTTAATAGGCTGTTTGCTTTCTTTGCTTCTAGGGCTGAAGTGTCCATATCTACTAAAATATGAGAAACATGACATTAAAGTTACATTTTTCCATCTTGAGTTTAGTCATACTGCATTATTTTTGGCTTCTCTATATGATATGTTGAACTCCCATTAAATATTTTAACTTTTGAAGTTGTTATATTATCTCTATTTGTCATTTTAACCTGTTATATTAAGTGACCTCCATTTTTGTTAGTCTATTTGTGATGCATAACAATTATACTCACCTTGAGGAATCTGTACATGTGCATACTGTATCTTAGTTATTTTTACTTCCCCTTTCTGTCCTCCACTTCCCAGATTCCTATCATCACAATCTATCTCCCTGTGTCTTAGCATCTGCCTTTTATTTGCTCTTAAATTACTTATGCTTTGGGCCTCCCATGTGAGAAAACTATGTGCCATTTAACCTTTGTGTCTCATTCACTTCATTTAACATTATGGATAATGACTTCCATGTTTCCTAAAAGACTATATCACCTTTCTGTTTTCTTGATATTGATTGATTTGATTCATCCTCTATCTTACCAGTTTTGGTAGAAGTGAGAGAAAGTGACTGCTTCCACCCTTCTCAATTCTTCTTTCAAAATAGGTAGACCATAGTTGCTTCTCTGGGGAATTTTCTCTAGGCGAAAGCTTAAAAATAAGGATGGTGTACCCTCTGCTTGCATTTTAGTCTTTTAGACTGAGGTCATTTGGTTGACAGTTCTGGTCTCTTAGGAAAGCTTTTCCTTCCCAGTACATTAAAAATCACAGAAATAGGTTTCGGTTGATGTTTAGTTCATTGTTCTCTTTGAAGAATCTTTCTGGTTGATTTATACTGGGTAGGCTACTGATGTAGGTCTAATAGTCTATGAACTGTTGCAGAAATATCAGAAGTAATCCAGATTCTTAAAATGTTTCTTAAAATGCTTGTATTGTTGATAGATGTTTTTATTGATACTTGAACAATGGATAGTTGCAAGTGACACTACTGGTCCTGTTCACATTTTCTGATTTCACATAATGGTTTTGGTGATTGTTTAAGATAAACTTACTTTTTAGGTATGCCAAGCCATTTTTCTTTCCTTAGATTTCTTTCTTCCTAAACAGAAAAATCAATGTGGAAACTCTAAAGTTTTACAGTAAGAACTTATCCAAAGCAACTGTCTTAAACAACTACTTTCGACCTATAAACAACCTATTAATGTATTTGTTCTCAGATATAGATGTTGTATATGGTTTAAAGAATATGTAATTAAAATTTACAGAAAATTTATAACAACATTAAAAATAAGTTCTGGAACTGTTGAAGATATGCTGTGGGAATAGGAAGGACAGGAGGAATGTTAGGAACAAATAAGTCTGACTGGCTTATCTAATTACAAAAAAACTTGTTCAAATTATTTAAAAATGAGAATTTTTAAGATACTTGAAATTTCCCCTATCATTTGGGATTTTGAATCTTTTTGGATAGAGCTGGTTAATTAATGACTAGTATAGTCTTTCTTTTTATTGCCATAATAAAAAGAAAGGAATATAAATGGGAAAGATCACGCTTCAATTTCTTTTTCATCAGTCACTGGCTTTGTGATCGGGACCACACACTTTACTTTTAAGAGCTTTAAAATTGTTAAATCACAGGCTATTTTTTTGTTTTTTGTCTTTTTCATTTTTATCGGTACCAGGGATCGAACTCACGACCGCCTGCTTGCAAGGCAGGTACTTATGCCACTGAGCTAAATCCCCAGCCCCAAATCAAATCACAGGCTATTTTAAAGGATTAAATTGAAAGTCATGTAGTTGTCTGTATTATGTATGTATCATGGATAGCTAACATTATAACTTAATTTTTTAATTGTGTCTTTTCTTTGTGACTATCATTAATGTTGTCAGTGTCCCTGATACGTTGAATGGGTTATGTATGACTCCAGGGTCTTCTGCAGAAACCAGGCTCTAGAATGCATGTCTGAGGTCACTTGCTGGTAGGTGACAAGGCAGTGCTAATGTACTTTAATCCTTACGTGCATATCCTTTTTGAGAGGCTACACTGTACCTGTTTAGCAGAATATTGAGGTGATAGAAAGTAAAGATGATCAGGTTGTAACATGTACATATATGTACCAGTTCCATAAGATGAATTCAATTATTATGTATAGAAAATACTTACTGCTGATAAAAAGGGAAGGATTTTGAAGGTTTTCATAATAAATGATATTTGAGAAAATAGGTATGATTCATTTAATTTAAACATTCTGTATATATACATGTATTGGAATATTGCATGATACCCCGTTAATTAGCACCACTTTGGTTTTTATCAGTTAAAAATAAATAAAAATATAAACTACTCTCCTGCCTCCCCCAAAATGGCTAATTCTTAAGTGTGTGCAGGGAAGCACTTTTGAGGCAATTTTCCATCTTAAAGTCCACGTAAGGCCGCAAAGTTAGGGGAACTGATGTTTGCTCTAACAAGAATTAGACACCTAGACACATCCCAAATAATACAAGTAAGGTTATGGTAAGTGTTGTATTAGGTATATATTGCAAGGAAATGACATGTAAATAGATCTTGCAGAATGAGTAGAGGTTCTTCAGTAACAACAGCAGCCCTCCAGGCCTAGGAAATTGTGTATGCCAAGCACAGAACATGCAGTGTAATGCTATTCAGAGAATGGAAGCTAACTGTATGGGGTGTGGATGGCATAAGGAAGGGGGGTGGAGAGCGAGCTTGGAGCCACTGTACTAGAACTAAGTTTGAATTTTTTAAAAGAGAGCAGCATTTTTATTTCTATTCCCGAGAAATGTTGAGAAAGTTATATAATGAGCAAAAACAGAAAGAATGACAGAGTTAGTCGATATGAAATAATCATTTTTAAAACACAGAAAAGATGCTCAAACATTCCTCTTCTGAAACTGCAACATTTTTAGGAAAGTGAGCAGTGGCTACTCCCCTCCAGGTAGCTGGTAATGCTTCAGAGGAGAATTAACTCAGCCACCTACATCAGAAACGTAGCATTGTAATGAATAATTTGTTGGGTGATGCAGCTGAACCATTTTCTAGGACTCACCTCACAAACTGTTAAAATCCATTGTTTTTTGAACCTCGGAAGCTCCCTTACATTCCAATATTCACTACTAATTTGGGCCAGGATCTGCAGTGATTAAGTTTATACAAGGCACAAAAAATTCATACATATTTACAAAGTAGATACGTAAATATTATGTGATTATTATAAGTATTTCTCTTTAAAGAGTAAGATAGTGATAGGAGACAGTGACAAGGGAATAGACAAAAAAACAAGTAGAAGAGTTGAAAGCTTAGGGCATGTGCTATTCTGATTATATTATTTCCTCCTTATTTCCTGACTTTTTACTGTAAGTACTAGGTGAGGAGGCAAAAAGTCAGAATTCTAGACCCAGCCTTATCACTTCCTGTACTTCTGCCTCATCTCAGACAAGTGCCTTTGTTTTTAGTCTGCAGACTCCTGATCTCTCGAATGAAAAGATTGTCAAATGGGCTCCATAGGATCCATCAGAGCTACTTCAGGGCCACTGTGGAGGGTGAAGGGAGGCCTTTGGGCCAGCTTTCCCTTTCAGACAGGAGCTTTGCTTTTATTTGTAGAATTGAGGCTGTTACAAGATTTTTGTGACAAAAGATCCTGTCACTTTTAAAAGTTTGGAAATCACTGAACTAGGTGTTTCATATAGGCCTGCCTGACTCAAAAACAATTTCCACATCTGCACAATGGATTGTCCAGGGGTGAACAAAGTATTCCGTGTAGAACGGAGCATATAGAACACAGAATGCATTTTATGTGTTAGCCACCAATTGCCCTCTTCTCAACATGTCCCATGTCTGTTAAAATTTTCAATTCTAAAACTCTTGTACTATGAGTATGAAATGATAGCCTGAAAATTGCCTAATCTATATGCTTTATATCAACACTATAAAAATGTCTTAAATAGTAATTCATTAAATGTTAATGTGTTTTATTTATAGTTTTGTATACTTTTCTCCTCCAGTTAAAAGTCTTATTGTATATCAAATTTTAAAAAGAATTATGATGGTACATTTATGAAAGTTAACTTGTCAGTGTTTTCCAGACTTGCCAGCTTGTGGGAAGGTGACATCAGCGTTCACTCTTTGACCCTGCCCTCTGCAACCTGCCTGGAGCTGCTGTTGATACTGTCAAGGAGTAATGCCATGCTGCCTCCATCCCTTCGCCAAATGAATTCCTTTCAGGTGACTAATGGTTCCATTAGCATAATGTACTTTCTCAGTTTTACTTGTAATAGTTTTTGTTTTTTGTTTTTTGGTACTGGAGATTGAACTCACAACCTTGCACTTGCCGGGTAAGCACTTGAACTACTAAGCTAAATCACAAGTAACAGTTTTTAATAAGTCCTGTTTTTCACAAGAGGAAGATAGTCCATGGAAACACATGGTTTCAGATGGTGGAAGTAATAATAATGCATGTAATAATTCAAGTAAGTGAACAGGTGGTGGCTCAGAACTGAGCAGTGGCAGAACCCATAGCTGTCTAACTCCTGGGCTTGATCTCTCAACTTCTGTCTTACTGGCCTGTGAGAGAAATGGCAAGAAGATCTAATAAAGATACTTATATACACCACTTCTCTCTCCCAGCTTTGCAACCTGGATGATGTCCTTCCTGTTCCCAGCACTATTTCCCTGTCTCCTCTCAACTTTTCTCTCAGAACTCCCCACCCTAGATGTTTAATTGTACTACTGGTACAACTCAGTGCTGCTGATGTAAACTGATCAACAGGAAGATTCTCTCCCTGTAGACAGCTAATTGTCACACGTGGTGGCAAATGAGAATTAAGATGTTAATTAATGCTTAAGTTGTGGCCCTGCAGCTACTGAAGATAATTAAACACATGTATGACTTAGGATAATGGAAAAATACAAGTATTTAAATGATAGAGGGAAGACCACATGCATTCCTGAGAAATTAAGAAACGTGTTGGTTTTGCTTCTGGAAGGTTGCTAGTATATCTTAAAATACTATCAGGAACAGTACATATTACTTGACGTAACTCTGTTACATGTTAAAACAAAAAACAGATTTTCTTACAAACTGTATCTTAGAAAATTAAGAAACAGCTGCTCTAATCTCATTTATATCCATATTCATGTGTAAATCTGTTAGGTTGTCTTTGTGATTTGCTTTTTCTTCTGAGCTTTGTTCACTGATGCAATATTTGTCCTTGGCTGTGGCAGTATTTGTATTTGTTGCTACTCTGCAGTTTAAAACTTACTCTCACAGGGGTCATATAGAACACATCCTCATTTGTAGGAGAGGAAACAGGTCCAGAGAGATGGAATGTGTTGGCCAGGGAACACCTTGTGCGCTACCGACCAAATTGGTCTCACCAGACCCCTGACCCAGGGTTGCTCCGTCTGCAGTACTGGGGAAGATGTAGAAAGTGAGTGAATATGGACAAAGGCAGGTTGTATATACTCGTTATGTCTACACACTCCCCACCTTTTTTTTTTTTTTTTTTGCCGTGATGTATACTCTTTTATTTGTATAATGTTTGAACTAGAAATCATTTAAAATTCTGTAACATGTTGCTTCTAAGTTTTGAATAACATTAGAGATTATATGTGACTACTAATTCTTTTTAAGAGAATAAAACCAAACAATAAAACAGAATAAAGCCAATCAAAACAATACAGTGAAAGCAATTCAAGACTTCAAAACAAGATAATAGGAAACAATGTCTGCCATGATGCCTCTTGTTATCTTCAAAACTGTCTATATCATCACACCTAAAAAAAAAATAAAATAGAGCAGAATAAAACCAATCAGAACAAAACTGCAAGTGATACAAGATTTCAAAACAAGATAATAGGAAATCAACAATGGCTACCACACGATATCTTGTTATCTTCAAAATAGCTGCCCATGTCATCAGATATAATAAAATCAAATAAAACAAAACAGGATAAGACCAATCAAAACAAAACAATAAAATGATACAGGACTTTAAAACAAAATAGAGAGTTAACAGTAGCTACTACCTTCCCTTTTTAGACATTTGTTCCCCTTTTAATTTCACAATATCTATTGTACATTTTGGTTGCCACTAGCTCCTTCAGTTTTTTTACAAGAGCGGTAACATTGATGTTCACCTATGTGATTCCAAAGCATTTCACCCAAGAGTATGAGCACAGGTTGCATCCAATTACCTATAAGAGCCTCGAGATTATCCTTATTTATAGCTGAGTAGCTTTCCATTGTATAAAAATGCTATATCTTTCTTATCTATTCTGCAATTAATGGGTAAGCTATCCCTGCTTTTTTCTGGTTCCCTGTCACTTTGTTGTTTTCTCTCCTTTGATTTGTCAATCAGTGAATTTCTTTTTGAGTTAATGTGTTTCTTGTATTCTGTATATTGATGAATCTTGTATCTTGATCCATTCTGCCTGTTTCTTTTTATTAGTGAATCGAGGCTGTCTACATTAATGGTTACAGCCAATATGCACTGGTTCATGTCTGTCATGCTTTTTTCCTATTGTTGGCTCCCTACTTTTCCCCTTCATTCAATTGTCTGCCCTGCTTGGTGACCCACTTTGCTGCTGTTCCTGGGACTCTGGTCATTTTTATCTCTCTCTAGAATACCCTTCAGTACTCTTTGTAGGGTTGGTTAGGTAGTCATGAATTCCTTCAGTTGTGCTTTGTTAGGGAAGTATCGTATTTCTCCATTAGTTTTGAAAGATAGTTTTGCAGAGTAGATCAGTCTGGGTTGGAAGTTGTTTTCTTTCAGGACTTGAAATACTTCACTCCAAGCTCTTCTTAACTAGATAATTTGTGTTGAAAAGTGTATCATGATTCTGATGTGTTTTCCTTTATAGGTGATTTGTCTTTAACAGCTTTTAATATTCTGTTATTATGCTGAATTTCTGGAATCTTGATTATTACATGTCTGGAGGATTTATTTTGGTCATGTATAGTTGGAATGCTGTATGCCTCATTTATCTGTATGTCAGATCCTTTTCCCATGCTTGGGAAGTTCACAGCTATTACTTCTGTAAATAGTCTCTGTCATTTCTATTTACTCCTGCTTCTTTTGGTGACACCTGTCATTCTTAAACTGTTTTTCTTTATTTTATTTTGTAGCTGTTGAATTGTCATTTCCTGATTCCTTGTTATTTTTAAGAGATCTTTCTTTTTGTGCTGCGGTCCTGTCTTCAAGGTCTGAAAGTCTATCTTCAGTTTCTTTTCAAGAAGTTTCGCCAGCTTTCAATGGAGTTTTTAATTTCCTGGGTATCTCTGAGTCCGTTTCATGCATTCCAATTCTTCTATGTGTTGTTTTTGCAAGATTTCCTTCACTCTCCTATGCTCCTCTTTTTTTGTAAATCTATGTCTTCTTTAGATGAGCTCAGCAACCGTTTTATTATGTTTGTCATTTTTTGTTTTACTTGATGTATTATTTCTGATCTGATTTCTTTCAAACTTCATGAAGTAGTTTCTTTACTTCAGTTGCCATCATCCCAGAAATTTCAGATGTGTGACTTCCACTTTCTTCCATGTCCATGTCTCCTGGACTTGTTCTGTTTGGGCTGGAGGCCAGAGATTGCCTTTTGCTCCTTCGTCTTGGCATTTTCCTGGGTTCCTCTGGACAAGTGAGTTGTGGGGTCCCAGGTGCTTTCCACGTTGGCTTCCCATCCACAGTGTAGTGGGGGTGGGCTAGGCACCTGGGTTTCTCCTAACTCAGGTTCCCCAGGAGACAGTGGGGTGCAGGTGGGCTTCTCTAGACATTTATGCTTTTCCAAGGCTTAGCTGGCTGGTTCTCCTGGCTTACACTGGCTACCTGCTGGAGAATCCTGATGGCAGCCCATGTGCATGTGGGATCTGGTCTGGCTGCTTCTTCCCACCTATGATGGTTACCTGCAGGAGAGTTCCAATGATGGTGCGTGTGCATGACCACGAACTTTTATGGAGTGACTTTTAAGAAACTTACTTAGCAGTGATCATGTTGGGGGAGTGAAGATGAGTGACGTTTTTATTTTCTCCCTCTCTCATGTACTGTTTGAAATTTTTATATTGCCAGTGAGTGAGCAGCAATAGAAATGATTGATTCCTAGAATTTTGTGATATATTGGGAGAAACAGAACAGTCTTCTATGTGTGACATATCGGGAACAATTTTAATGCATAGTAACTAGAACATAAGTCTTAAAAGATTAAAAGTAAAAGAAAAATCTAAACCAAGTATGAGAGAGTTGAAAGGCAGACCAATCTGTATTTCTTCTCCAGGAGACAGAGGGGGTCTTTTCTCTGTTTAGGATGTCATCTTGGTCCCATGTAACAAGGTACATGAAAGCCTGGCTTGCTATTGGTGGTTTTAGGACGTTCTCATCGTTTTTACTTAGAAGAGCTCTGAGAGTCATCTGGGTTTTAATTGCTAAATGTTCCTCTCAGTGATTATGTTTCATCTGATTTCATTCTGTTTGCTGAATGTTATTGTCAGGAACACATACACTTACCTGACTTCAAAGGTACAGAGAAACCTGACAGAATCCTATGAATAGTATCTACTGAAATTTTGTCCTACCATTACCCCTGAAAAGATGTATTCTTATCAGGAACATTCCAAGAATTGGCTTTTCTGTGTAGATCTTCACTTCAGATAAAGGATCAGTGAAAATGTAGAAGGTGTCTGTCAGACTTGGAAAGGGAGGCTCGCCTTTTCATCTTTGTAACATCTACTTAATCATTTATTATAATCTAAGGGAGTGGGGCCACTAAATTTGTCCACATTTGAGATTTATTTTTAATTAGAAACTTGCTTTCATGCCTATATTCTTTAAAGCTATTTTGGCAGGAGCTGTAAAATAGTAGAATGACATTTGTTACAGATATCATCTTTACATTTCCAATTCTCTTACTTTCCAGACTGAGACAGTCACTGTGAGCAGCACTTCTCTTTCTGTAAAACTGTTATTTTAGGATTCAGATAACACTCCTGCTTGAATTATCACTGCTAAATCCCAAAGGAAAGGGTTTATCTTATTAATGAGCGTTATTAACATATATGAAATTCTGCCTTCTTAAATTATGCTGTAACATTTCTTTCAGGCCAACAGGGATATCTTTTGGTGATAGTGTCATACTTTTAGCTTCTATTCTGTTGCAGTACCATAATATCCCTAGTGTGATTTTCAGCAAACAATGTAGGATTTAGTTGAGAATACTGACATATTGCTAAGCACATACTTACTTACTATAGTTGTATGGTTCCAAGAACAGGATGGATTTAATTATTCCTTACATCACTCCCTTCTTGAAATTCTGCCATGGCCTTGCATTGCAATGAAAATAAAATCCAAATTCTTTACGTTGGCCTGTAAGAGGGGACAGCTTCCACCCTGCCTCTTCTGACCTCATCTCTTACACTTTCCCCCTCTCATTCCGGTTACTCCAGTCTCACTGACTGGCCTTAATTCTCCCTCTGGAGTAGAAACTGCTTCTGACTATTACTTTGTGCACCACGTCTTTCATGCCTGGCTCCTCCTGTATTTCAGGTCTCTACTCAGATGTGTCTGCCCACAAAAGATCTAATTTGACTCCCTTATCCCTTTCTCCCTATCATCAATACTTTATAATCTAACCTTTGTAAAGTACTTTTCACTATTGAAATGATTATGTTCATTTACTTATTTGTCTTTTTCCTCTACTGAAATGTATGATGATTTAAAAGGGGAAACGTCTATTTTTGCTCAATATTATATCAACAGAACTTAGTGCCTGAATGTAAAAAGTGGTTAATAAATAGTGGATTGGTAGATGGGTGCAAAAATGCAAATTGGTGTAACCACAGTATACACTGGAAATCTAAAGGAGACTTGGGAATTTACACATAAATGGCAACAGTAGGCTAAAGAAAGAAACAAAAGCCTTTTCTCCCTTTTTATCTATATACTTTTGTACTGTATAAATGTCCTCATCTGACCATTACAAGCCATGCTCATTTTTGAGTAAACTATAGCCATTTTAATTTTTTAAATAACATTTCCCCTGATTATAAAAAATAATACCTATTTAATAAAAATGAAAAATTAGAAAAATATGAAGAAAATATCAATGGGAGTAAGCACTGACACTTTAAAGTAATTCTCTTTTAGAACTTTTAATATAGACACATGTGCACATGCATGTGTGCATATGCGCATGTGTATTTTAATCTAACATTGGCCTTACTGAAGATGCTAAGGCTAGTTACTACCTGTGTTCTGTTCTTTACTCTGCTTATCTTCTGGAATCAAGCCAGCTTTCCCAGAGACTGTCAAGAGCTTTGAGGACTTTATATATTAAGGTCCTTTTATTAGATGAGAATGTATGGAGAGGGAAACGAAGCAATTCCATGTGTCTAGTAATTAAGGGCTGCTTCAGAAGTAATAAAGTGGCAGATGGACCTGCTCAAAGATGAGCAGACACTTGCCAGAATACACCTCTGTTCTGATCTTGTGGTCATTCGCATGAGCATCTCAGGAAGCTGACAAAGATGTTGGTATCCTCAGGTCCCCAATTGAGTTACCTTCTTTCTTTCCTGGTAAGTCTTTGTCCACTGTGGGCCAAGATAATTAGGAGTTGGGTGCTAGTCATTATATTTAGGGAACCTCATCTCAAAAGGTAGTGGTTACCGTTCTATTTTCAATCTCTTCTCAAAACAGATTTCTGAGAATTTGAGTGTGAATAAGGCTGCTGTCATCCTTCCTTTTTGTTTTTCAGGACATTTTGTGGGTTGAGGAAATAAGCAAGAATCAGCTAAACACTGTTCTCTTCTCTGTTGTCCCTTCTGCCTCCTTTCATAGTGGGCTCTACTGTTTTGCCGTACCTGAGAGCAGGCAGGAAGGACAAAGACAGGTAGAAGGGTAAGCTAAGTGGACGTTCACCTGCTTTCTTCATGCAGCTTCCCAGGTTCCACCACACACCCTGCTCTTCAGGCATTTCTGTCCCTGCCGAGGTGCTGAGGTTATAGGCAAAGCTGGCCATTACCCAGCCCTTCTTGTAGCATGTGGTAGAGGAGGTCCAATGGAGGCCTTGTTGACAAAAGCAGGAATGAATTGTAGCCGACTAATTAGGGCTCTTATTTTGTTTGTTTTTTATAAATTGACTTTTTCTTCCTAGTTCTCAAAGAAATATATACTTACAGTAGAAAATTGGTGTATTTTTTAAAGAGAATAAAACCAAACAAAATAAAGCCAATAAAATAAAACAGTGAAAGTGATACAGGACTTCTAAACAGGATAATAAGAAATCAACATTGGTTACCTTTTATTCTCTTCAAAATTGTGGCCCACACTATCAGACATAATAAAGTCAAACAAAACAGAACAGAATAAAACCAGTCAACGCAAATATTGAATAAAACCAAACAATGAATGGAACAAAACAAAGCAGTGGGAACAATATTGGATTTCAAAAACAAGGTAGACAGAAACCTACCATATTTGCTACCATATTTGCTATATTGCATATTCTTATCCTCTTTATAGATGCTCAGACCACTGGCCTTAGGCCTACAAAATCAGTCAGACAGTTCAACTATTAAGTTGTTTGTGTACCTCAGCTGCTATCAACTCAGTCTGTCCTGAATGGGGAGTGTGTTCTTGTCTCCCATCCCGCTTGCAGGGTGGCTCCCGGCAAGGGTGACTTGGGCTCTTGTTATTCCTCACAGGGCCCACATAGCTTGCATTGGCACAGGAAGAGCAAGAGCCAGACTGTAAGAAATACTTATATCATAATAGAAGATACTGTATCAAAATGAAAAATTTATTTTCATAGTGACAGACCTTGTCACTAGTTCCAATAGTTTATTTTCCTCTTCACTGTTCCTTAACGTGGTCCCTGACTGTTGAATCATTGTCATGAAGTTTGTGTTTTTCTTCTCTGGTTTTATGTTGTTATTGGTAAGACAGGATCTTGCCACTGAGTATAGACTGGCCTTAAATGCAAGGACCTCCTCCTGCCTTAGCCTCCCGAGTGCTGGGATTACAGGCATTCACTGCTATGCCCAGCTTCTCCTATTTTCTTCTGCCCTAATTTCTGCTCTTTTACACTCAGTGCTTTCTTTTTTTAAAATTTAATTTAATTCTTTTAAAAGGGTAAAACTAAACAGAGCAAAACAGAACAAAGCAGATCAGAAGAAAGCAATTTAAGTGACACAGATTTCAAAATAAGACAAGAGATCTACAATGGCTATCATGATGTCTCTTGTTTTCTTCTATATGGTTGTCTATGTCTTCACACACAGTGAATTCATACAAAACAGTATAGTAGAAAACTCATCAGAATAGCGTAATTCAAAACCAAACAATATGAACATTAAATGGCTGCCATAGTGTCTCTTGTTCTCTTCAAAATAGCTGTCCATCCCTTCATGTATGTTGAAATTAGACAATATAAAACACACTAAAATCACTCTGAACAAAGAAGAGAAGCATTATGGGATTTCACAGCATGATGATACAAAATCAGCAATGGATGCCATAGTGTCTCTTTTTCTTCAAAATATCTGTTCATTTTATCACACGTAATATAATCAATTCTCATAAACTCTTTAGGAGAAGTTCTAAAGAAGCATGTATAAGCCTCTACATGTTATCTATCCTTTCTACATTAGAGGAAAAAACAAAACAAAAAAAGAACCCAGATTACTAGAAAAAGGAACAAAAAAGACAAATAAATAACAATAGCAAAGAGCCCCAAACAATAACAATACAGGCCTTCAAAACATGGTGGTAAGAACAGAACTAAGATTGATATTTTACATAGTGATCTTCAAGAGCTCCTCAGGTCACTTGACACAAACATGCAAAATTGTTCCAATCCTGTGAATGTTAATTGCTTTGTTCTATGAACTTATAGAATTTGTAGCACAATCATCTTAGCTATCCTAAGTGTGTTTATGCAAATTCAGATATTTTTTCTTTTCCCTGAAATATTTTAGTTTTTCTCCTTTGAGAAGATTCTTACCCTTTCCACTGTATTTATTGAGGATTTTGTATTGTATGTACTCTCACCATTTCTTACCTTAGGGAGAAAATACAGTATTTACTCATGTGACACTCAGTGTTTTCTAGAATGCACGTACTAGTTACCTCAGTAACTCATCTTTCTGCCATTCAGGGTCAACATCCAGCACCCTTTGTCTCCCCTTGGGAATATTTATTCTCTGTAGCCCTTTTCTTCCTTCTCACAGCATGTCTGGTGGTGGGGGCAGCTGCTCGGAGTAATGCAGGACACTTGAGGTGTATTCGACACCCAGTGACTTTGTGGCACTGGTATAGTCAGGTAAGGTCTGTGGGTCTTGACTTCTTTATCTGGGCCATAAAGGAGTTGAGTTAAAAGTATAGACACAGAGAGTTAATTTGTTTATTCTAATTTGTCTCTGATTTATGCACCAAGGCTGAATAATATAAATCTAGTCTCTAAAAGAAATAGGTCCTTATTTCTTCTGAACAAACATGTTAAAAGTGTTATTGAAAAAGCATAGATAAGGAACATAGATAAAGCTAGATTGTGTTTGTGTAATGCATGTGGGAAGAGCACGTATATGCACAAGCCTGCGCATGATGGGAGTGTGTGTGTGTGTGTGTGTGTGTATACATGTTATAAGAGAAGGAGTTTATGTTGTGAGACCTCCTTAACAACCACAATAAATTAAGAATGTGAAGCTTGGGTGCTGTTGGCTCTGGCTGTGGACCTGAGTCATCTTTGCATGCAGAGACGGTAAAGGAGCGCACCATCAGATGGACTGCCTGTCAGAGAAACTTGAACTGTCTCCTGGCAGCTCTTTCTCCTTCCTTCTTTTTCCTTCTCTGCCCTTCTTTAGGTAGCTTCCACTTTTAGTTTCACTCTTGCTTTTTGACTGTAGATCCTGGTCAGCACTGAAACATTTGTGGCTTAGAAATTTCCTAATGATTTTGTGTTTATATTTTATTTATAAATATCCTTAATCAGCAAAAGATATCTAAAATGTGAGTGTCTTCCATAGCAGCCAGTACGGCAGATGGAGCATTAGAACTAAGGAGTTTCTGGGTGTGATGGCATGTGTCTGTAATCTCAGACTCAGGTGGCTGAGGCAGGAGGGTCATCAAGAATTAAGTCAGAAATTTCTTTCTTTTAGAGACAAATTATTTCTCCAAATTATTTCAGGCTGAGGACATGATCTATTACTGCTCTGTAGTAGAATGGACAGAACATGCAGATATTAGCACCAGAAGAGTGGACAGAATATGCAGGTATTGACACCAGGAAACTGGGTCCGGTTCAGTTTCTACAGGGAAAGGAGAACACTTGGGTATAGAGGGAAGGATAAAGCAAGTGTGAGTTATCATTGTATTTCCTCTCCTCTCCCTTCCTTAATATAAAAAGCTCTTGCGAACCCAGACACAGTGAAACGATGATTTGTGACATTATGAGACTTGAATAAGGCCTTTTCTGGGTCACCAAGCCTCCCATATTGGGGTGGGAAGGGGGAAGTGAGCATATAGATGTGAGTGGCTGATAACCCTAACCAGAGGACTTCATTCTGCCCCTGACACTGGCTGTGTTCAGCCAAGTGGCTCCCAGGTAATGGGTGTTACTTCCTTGAAAAGGCAGCTAAAGTTATATTTCTGTTGTTGAAAATAAAGTAGTAACAAGATTGAAGTGACTGAACTCCTTCTGTTCATGGAAGGAGCTGCTGTATTGTTCTCAGGAGCCTTTCTGGCCGAGGGGGAAACAGTCTGGGAAGGACGCCAGCCTTCAAGGGGATGATAGATTGGAAGGTGAAACTATTCTAAGCCTCAACTGAGAACTTCTCATGAGCCCTCCCTGTAATGACTGATTGCTTTAGCAAAATGAGCAGATTTAGAACACAAAAGATGTTGAGAGACTAGGCTGTAGGAATCACGAGGATCATGACTGATGATATTTTATTGTCCTTTGGGTCCTTGTTCTTGGATAGCTCATCAGTGACGCCATAGAGTAAGCCCTGGAGTGGAGATGGAAAAGGTTTAGGCTCTTTGGTTGTCCTGAGACCAGTAACCAATGTGACAGTGAGGTAGAAAGTAGATGGTGTAGCCAGTCCACCCCTGGTTTTAGGCTCACAGCAAGCAGAATGCTGCTGGCTCCTGGAGAACACAGAAATATCCTGCTATCATATTTCCTTCGCATACTGACATGAGTCTGGGAAATATGGTCCTTACCCTCTCTTAGTTTCTTTTTCATCGCTGAACACAGTATCCCAGCACATAATATTTTGTGTTAACGGTGCGTCATTGTGGGTGTATAATACTCATGTTTATTCATTAGAATATTTCTATTGATGAATTGTTAATTTTATGAGATTTTTATAGTAAACAATAAATACTTAACAGGAAAAATATCAAAAATAAAGTATTGAATTTTTAATATGTATTGAGCTTATAAAACATCAAAATTTTCAACATTGACTGTTTTTTGGTGTACAAAGTCTAAAACATCACAGCAGAAAATAAGCTCCTTTGTGAACTACAATGAAAATACCAATAGAACTCTCCAACAAAAATAATCTTTACTTCAATTATCACACTTAAGACTATCTGCATACATGACAATAGCATGTTCCATACACACATATTGCTTACACTGACAGCATGTTTGTTTTGTTTTCCTGGCTTTTGTAGGATATAGTTGACATCTCTCTGATCTTGCTGTTTTGTCAGGAAGTTCTTATTATGTTATACAATGTACACTTACCAGGAACATGAAATATTAATAGAGTTAAATATTAAATTCTTAATATATACTGCACATTTAGAATACATCAACATTTTCACATCAGGAATACATTCCTATGTGAACTACAATGAAAATAACAATAGAACTCTACAACAAAAATAATCTTGGCTTCAGTTGTGACACCCAAGGCAGTCTTCACGCATGACAGCTGCATTTCCATGCATACTTCTCACTAACACAGCACCTGAGCTTAGCTTTCCTTTCCTGTGTGGCAGGCCAGTCTTCTCACCTCTCTTGATGAGTCATTTTTAACCTCCAAAACTTCCAAATCTGGTTTTTCATGTGCCATCATATTGAACTGGGCTACTTTTACCAGAAAAATTGAAAGAAAACTTTTCTACATGAACAGATTTGAAGTGTACACCTGTTGCTGCTCTGGAGCTTATGTATACACCTTGCCATTATTCTATGAAGTGGATGAATGCACAGATGGGTTTCTGCTTCTCCCAGGCTCAGCTGCTGTTAGCCACACCCACACCCATTATGGTACAACATATGTTTACATAACAGATGATGGCATGGTATATTTTACAACCCCTGGTGCTCAAGGAAACATATGCAGAAAATATTACCAGGAACATTATATGGGTAAAAATACTGGTTTGATACTTTTGCATATGTGTACACATCTTGATGTTCATCATACAAAGACAGTAAACACCCATATTGCTTCTTGTTTCCCCCAGGCACAGCTACTGAGATGCATAGCCAGCTACTATAATGCTGAAGTATAGATTTTCATTAGGAAAGTATGGTGCATGTTTTTGTAACCTAATGTTGTAGCCCAGAGATTTTAAAGGAGGAAAGATTTATTTTGACTCACAGTTTGTATAGGTTTCAGTTCACAATCTGCTGGCTCCAATGAAGGGCCTTAGGCAGAGGATCATTTCGATAGAAAGGAGAGAGATCAAGGGAGGAGAGAGGGAGCTAAGTGTACCTTGCCAGGCCACGCTTCCAGTAACCCCCTCCTCTAACCATATTAGTTATAAGCTCAGTGAACTGACAGATTTCACACCCCCTGATCCAGTCACTTCCCAATAGTCCCATGATGAGCACATGAGGCTTTGGAGGGAAATTTATAAACCATATTATACCCTCACCATTCTTACTGCTATTCATATTCTGAGATGAGCCCAAAAATATTGTTCTGTTCTTTGCCTGAGGAGCATGTGCTGTAACCAACGTAACCAAGAATAATCCTATCGTCATTGTAGTGTTCACATTAAGATTTTGACAGCCAGGCTGGTCTGACTTGGCCCATATAAGTTTAGAAATTTCCCCTCTTGACACAAGAATGGAGATTTACAGTTAATTGAAAAAAAGCCGAGTAGTTTCCCCCTGTGATTTCTCCCCAAATTCTAGGGAAAAAAAAGACAAGCCCATTGTGAGACTCACTACAGCTGCCGCCTCTGGGCTCTGCCCACATTCCATTCCTGTGGGTGTGCTTTCATTACTGACAGTTGCCATCTCTGGGTGCTGCCCACTTGGAACTCTCCCAAGTGTACTTTAATCTCAAACCTAAAATGAGTGGGTTTCTTTTAAATCAATGTCTCTTTCTTGAGTTTTCTCATCAACCCACACCTGCTCTGTGAGTGTATTTTCCCTTTCATAAATCTTGCCTTTTTGACTACTTCTGTGTCCTGCTCAGTTCTTTCTTCAGGACACACGGAATCTGGATATTGCATGAGACACAGACAGCTGTCCAGCAGCAACTAATCTTAAGTTACTACCTTGTCTAGATCCCTCTTTTTTTCATTCCTCTCATTCTAAAACTGATTGATTCTAAATTCTGCTCATTGTAGGAGCCATAGCAGGGTAAGAGCTTATGCACTAAGTTAACTTAAAATAAAACTATCATTTCATATTCCTATCCTTAGAGATCAGCAGATTGCTTTTTAGTGATTAGATTAGATATCTGGGATGATGGTCATAGACAAGTGATCTTGAGGAGGCAGCAGAGAGGTATTTCTGCAGCTTCATAGGCTTCGTACAGTTAGCATCAGCAGTTACTTTCTGTAGTTCAGAATAGTAGATTAATCTGTACCATGCGCAGGGTCCTGGTGTATTGTATGATGCTGTGGTAACATAACGCAGACGAAATTAGAATAGCTTGTTAGTGGAGTCATGCTAGTATACACCTTTTAAAGCAAAATGCAGCTCTTCATGAAAGATTATATTTATGCATAGTCCCAGTGTTTCTTGTTCACTTTCTGCTAGTCTTAAATTAATAAGGTTTCCTTCTTACTTAACTTCAACTCAAACATCATTTGTAAAGGCAGTAAACGTTTGAGACATTGTCTGTTTGAACCATTAGTTTCTTTTATCACCAAGTTCTCCAAATATGGCAGTGTTTTTAGCAGAAATCAGTGCACTAAAGCAGGTGTGTCCTTGGTATTTTTGTTTTAAATAGGTGGGCTAAATCTGTTTATGTTTATTTTCATTACTAATGTAGTTGGACTTATATCTACCATGGTTGGGGGAAACAAGGCAGAATTACATACCTTGGCTACCATATTTTATCTTCTTTCTTACTTCTTGTCTCTGTAGTTCATTCTTTGCTTTAAAATTTCTTTGCTAGCTTGGAAGCAATTACGTTTAGTTTTCTTATGTATTAAAAGACAGCCTTGTTTATAATCTTTATCATTTTTCAAACAGGCAGAAATCCTACAATTGTTGAATTACCTAGTAACATTTCACTATCTCTTTCCACTTTTCCCCATTTCTGTGACTTCTCATACTTACTTCCCTTGAAAGCACAAAAACTAGTTATTATTTTTAAATATTTTTATATTCCTTACCTCGTGTACATCAGTCGTCGGGCTTTGTGGGGTTTTTTTGTTGTTGTTGTTGTTTATTTTGTTTTTGCATCTTATATCCTTTAGTGTTTCCTTCATTGACAGTCTGTAAAGGAAAGCCCTCTTATCTTTGTATGTCTAGAGGTCCCTTCATTTTGTTCAGCCCTGAATGATGGGAAGTGAAGAGCAGATCTTAGACTCCTTTTCAGTTTGAAGGTCTATCGCTCACTGCCTTCTGCCATCTAAGATAGCTGTTGTAAGACTATTTGATATTCCTCTGATGATAAACTGTCTCTTTTTTTCCCTGTTGGCTTATACGATTTTATCTCCATGCTTGATGAACTATACTTCTATAGCTACATGTAAGTGTAGATTTATTATACATAGTACTGTGAAAATACTCCATCTGAGGACTTACATCTTTAAGTAGTGCTAGCAGAAAACTGCCAGCTATTATATATTAAGTTTCCCTTATCTTCTTCTCCCCACTTCCTTCTTCTGAACTTTCTATTAGGCACTGCTATATAGTGTCCAATTCTTCTTGCCTCTGTGTGTTTAGATATAACTTATAAATTACATATACGCACAGATTCATTCATATCTCAACTGCATTTCTGCATCTTCTGGTTTACTCATTCTAGATTTTATCCTCATCTTTGTTTTATTTCACTGGATTTTTTTTTTATTTCCAAAGTATTAAATTTTTAAAAATCTTTCCGGTGATATGAAGCATAATCTTCTTTTAAGGATTTTTGAGGGTTTTTTGGAGGGGCATTGGAGATCGAACTCATGACCTTCCACTTGCCAGGCAGGCACTTATGCCACTGACCTAAATACCCAGCCTGTTTTGTTTTTATGTTCGTTTTTAATTCATTCATTTATTTGTTTTTACCTTGTTCTGTTTTTTAACAGCTTTTAATTAAAAAGCTGGAGCGTTTAATTTTGGGGCTATCAGATTTATAGTTATATTGCTTCATGTACTTTGGAGTTTGCGTTTGAAAACTCTCTTTAAATTCTTTTTCTCCTCTACCCTTCCCACCTTTTGCCTCACGTTTTGATGGTTTTGCAGCTACTTCACCCCACCTCTCTAGGCCTCTAGTCAAATATAAAGTCCAAAATAGTGCGTGTTTATGGTGAAACCTGGTTCCCTGCAGATCGCTCACTGAATCAGCAGAAGATTGAGTCCAAAGCTTCCTATTTTTCTAGAGATAGAGACTTGTTTTGTTTTGTTTTTTGTTTTCTTTTTATGAACATCAGAGAGTTAGCATCCAAACTCCCTTCCCTTTTCTGTTCCAGAGCTTAATCTTGAATATCAGTGCTATCTGAAAGGCCCAAGATTTCAGCTCTGTCTCCATATTTTGTGCTTCTGGTTCAATGTGCTTAGCTACTTTTTGAGTATCCCTGTAACTTGATTTCTCTTTTCATATTTTGTCTGTTATTGCCTTTTATTTGAAGAAGCAAGGACTTTTAGTGTTATCTTTTGCTTCTTATGATTTTACGATAGTTTTCACATCTACAGAAGAACTAAAATAACTGTACAACTGTGCTTCCTGTCTGTGAAAGCATTTTGTAAATAAAAATGGCAGAATGTAAACATTTATGTAATCAATATAATTGGCCTAGCATTTTACCATTATTCTCTATCTGTACAATAAGGATGTTCAGGTTGGGTGTGTGGTACAATGGAGGAATATAATATCTTAAGTCATAATAGTGTTAAACATCCTAAAGCTTTAGTGCTTGCTAAATGTTGCCAGGGATTCCAGTCACCAATTACAGTACTTCCTACAGGTAAATGGACTATGGCTTTGTTTTTATTTTACTTATAGAGTTGCATGAAATAAAAAGTAAATTGTGCTTAACAACAATAAACCTGCTCATCATTCACTGGATTTTTGAGGTGTGTTTTTTTTTTTAACTTTGGTTTTATTCTGTTTTATTTTGTTTAACCTGGTGATGGTATCTAGACTAGAACTTATCCTTTGATATTTAGGTACTTTATAAAATTTATCCGAACTAAATTTGCTCTGGTTAAAAAAGAGTTTATGTGACTTTGTCTTTCAGATGCTTATCACTGTCTTTTCACAATGTTCATGGTCTACACAGTTGTACTATAAAGATGTTGCTTTTTTATCATTTAGTAAATAAAAACAAGACCTCAAAATACCTCAAAAACAAAGCAAAAAACTGTGCAAGAATCTTAAAGAGAAGTCAGTCTGAAATACACTCTAGATATTTGAAAATTAAAGATTCTTCCCTCTTGTATTTTCACATTCTGGTTAGCAGCTAAAGCCCTGTGTTGCTTCTTTAATCTGCCATTTTTTAATTGCAAATTTGTATTCCTCTTTCCTTGCATCCTCTGGTACATCCTCTGAAGTCTAAAAATACTCCATACACATTTCTGGGCACAGCTATGGTACTAATCAGCCTCTGAAATCAACACAAAACAACTATGAAAATTTGACAGAGAACCACACCCTTCGCATTACTTTTATTAGACTTAATATTAAAAATGCAAGTAGGTGTGGGCAAATGGGAAGAAAAGCTTAAAATCGCAATGCTTAATTTCTCACCCTTCTGCCTCATCTTCACTACCAGGCTTTATGGAGGCAATGGCTCAAAGAGCAGGAAAAACTGGAAATACAAGGGATAGGCTAGTGATGGTACCTATAAGTGATTTGGCATAGTTATCAGAAAGATTAAGTCAAACCTACATTTTAAAATACTGGAAAGGACCAAGCAGATGAGAGCATAGAATATAGAGAAGGAATTTAAAGTCTTACCGCTCAAAGAGCCTCAAGCTATGTTGGAACAGATGTGCCACTTAAAGAGACAGGCACTCTTTAAAGGAAAAATCACAATTTTAAAAAATTACCTAGACATCATTTAATGGGACAATCTTTCAAAACCATGGTTTCCAGTAAGAGTACTCTAAATGATACTATAATGGTGACCTCTGGTAAAAATTATAGACTTGGGGTAATAATGACATGCCAATGGGAATTCATTAATTGTAATAAATGCACCTTTCTAGTGGAGGATGCTACAGTGGGACAGCATGTGTGTACACAGGAGCACATAAGAAACAGGGATGAAGGAAGTGCGGGGGCAGAGCAGGGAGAAGAAATTAAAGAAGAAAGAAACTTCAGAACAAGAAAGCTATGTTGGGATTTTTATATCCAGACAAGCTGTCCTTCAAGCAGTTTTTATCTTACTTACAACTGGAGGATTCTAGACTTATAGCTCTTTCTGAAGAGTGTTCCAGACTAAACAGAAAACTGTGGCCTGACACCTGCTTTTATAAGTGAAATTTTAATGGCATAAAGCCAAAGCCATGCGGTATATGTGGCTGCATTTGTTCTACTGTGGCATAGTTCAGTTGCAAGTGCAGCCTGGTCCATGTGGGCCTTGGAATCTCAAATAAGTTACTGTCTGATTCTTTATAGAAAAGATACACTGACTGCTATAGTAGAAAAATTTCATGTAATAACTGGGAAGTCTTCATCACAGGACTGATACTAATGATACCCTTTAAAATATATAAATATACATATCAGGCTAGAAAAAAATGAACAAGAACAGTGATGTAAAAATGTTATATGTGGGGAAAAAGTAGACATAATACAAATTTAAAAACAGATGAAGGGATATCAAAATATGAAAATAGAAAATATGCATTATTGTATAGGACAGGGATAGGTGATAAAAAATATTACCAACCTCCCATCCAATAACCCCAATACTTCAAATGGTAAATAGCTAAAACACATTTTAAAAATGGAAGTGTATAAGTAATAAGAGTAAAATTAGAAGCCTTCCTAAATATCAATGTATATACATCTCTGAAAAGCAACATAAGCAATATTTTTAAATTATAAAATATCAGATCAGTGACCAAGCATAGCGTTCATAACATTAAATATTTATGGACATGATTTATGGAATAACACATAAAAGTTAGCAGTTTGGACTGCAAGATAAAACTTAAGTACACATGTATATTTACCTGTGACTATAATTGTGATTCAGAAATACAAAAATAAATGGTAAGATAAGTACTCCATAACAGTACAAACTACAAGAGAAATGTGGTGGCAACCTTGACATGAAATAATGTAGAATTTAAGCTGAAAAGCATTAAACATGACAAAAAGGGCCCTTTAAAGCCAGAAGCCATAGTTCTCTCAGTTTACTGATAAAACAAGAAAGAAAAAGGCTCTAGCACCACATTATTTGCAAATTCTGTTAAACAACTACAAGGGGAAAGGAGACATTGAAACAAAAGATGATAAGGTAGTCCTTTGTGTGTGGCAATTTTACTTAACACAATATTTTCAGGTATTGTCTATCTTATAGCATGTATCAATGCTTCATTCCTTTATTGATGAACAAGTATTTCATTGTATGGGTATACTGCTGTTTATTTATTAATTGATGGACTAATTTGGTTTTACTTTTTGGCTATTATGAATAACAATGCTGTAAATACTTGTGTAGTCATTTGGAGAAAAAAAACTGGCTCTATATATCACATTATATGCAAGAAGAAACTCCAAATGAATTGTAGATCTAAGTATAACAAATGAGAAATAATAGAAAAACTGACAACATTTGAATAAAGTCTGTGGTTTACCAGCATTAATTTCTGGGTTTTGACAGTTGTCCTGTGATTGTGTAAGATGTTAATATTAGGGTTAAGTGAATGTCTTAGTTATTTTCTTCATTGCTAAGAAAAGAGAGGAAAGATTTATTTAGGTCACAGTTCATAGAGTTTCAGCCCATAGTTGGCTGACTCCAAGACAGGACAGCTTGGCAGACAAACATTAGAAAGGGAAACAGTTCATGGTGGGCAGAAGGCAGCAAAGCAAGCAAGGGGGCAAGATAAGCTTCTTTCTGTCTCTGATATTGTATCCAAGCTACTGGGATTAGGGCAGTGCCAAGCCAATCAGTAGACTGATTTAGTAATCACCCATCCTTAATCCTAGCATTGCATTATGAAATCAGCCACACACTTTAGATCCAGCCACCTCTGAAAAAGCCCCACCTATGACCACATAAGCTTTGCAGGGGAGAGGAGCGGCATCTAAACACAAGCCATAACAATGAATGAGAGACATGTAGAAATACTGTGCTATTTTTGCAACTTTTCTGAGTCTAAAATTATTTCAAAATAAAACGTTTTAAAATGCAGATGCCTCTTGACCATCAATCCTGACGATCCCATTATGTTAAAAATAGTTTGTCAAAATACATTTAGTACACCTAACTTACTGAATACCATAGCTTCACAGCACATTATGTTATAGAATATTGGTTGTTTCCTGCCTTGATGATGTGCCTCACTAGGAGCTGCGATTCCCTGGAGGTGCCCAAGAGTATTGTGCCACATACTGCTAGCCTGGGAAAAGAGCAAAATTCGAAACATTTTTTACTGAATATGTATCATTTTTGCACTATCATAAAGCTGAAAATCACAAGTAGATCTGTCATAAGTTGGGACCATCTGTATTAGGTAACATACCAAGAAAATAAAAATAAAATTAAAATGTTCCACAAAAGGTGAGAGACTAGAGAGAGCTTGTCTTCATGGCCCTAAGAATGGAAATATACCTGTTCCAACTAGGGAAGAGAGGCAGTGGAGGGTAGCCAGGCTCCACTGAAGGGTTAGGGGCAGCTGGGCTACGAAACAAGAAGCCATCACACCAATTGCAGATCATTTTACTTCTCTAATGTGTGAGATAGTATCTGCATCTCTATGAATAAGTGGAAAGTGTATGTATATTTAATATATGTACATGTAAACAAATATTTATAATGGTAAGTTGGTTTACAAACTCATTTCTCTCCACTTTTCCTGTTGGAAATTAAACTGGACAAAAACCAAATCACATAGGTCAGTGTTGAACTTGTCTTTTCATTTTGATTCAGTTCTCGTCTGACTCAGTTTGTGACTAGGATTGTGGAAAGAATCATGTTCATGAATTATGTATCTATCTATATCTGTATCTAGTGTATCTGTATGTCCAGTGATTAATTATTTTTGAGTTTGAAAATCATTTCCTTTTATTTTCTGGATGTATTTTTATAGTTGGTATGTCTTTGTAATATATAACAAGTATTGTGTATTATTAATACATAACATAATTATGTAATCATGTATCAAAAACATTTTATTTTAATTAAGTAATTTAATTATTTAATTAATTTATTTAATTATTTAAAATACAAAAATTTAATTATTTAATTTATTTAATGCTTCTATAGAAGCTTGGTGTTGTGAACTCTCACTCTGAGGAAGGATATCTAGAACCTGTTGGAGAGTAAGTTTTGATTTCTTTCATCTTGAAGACGTTGCTTTAACATTGAGGTTCAAAGTATAGGTGATAGTATCGAGGAGCTGAAATCTTAAGATCAAAAATCTCTGGCTTTGGGGCTGGGGATTTAGCTCAGCGGTATAAGCGCCTGCCTTACAAGCAGGCAGTCATGAGTTCGATCCCTGGTACTGATAAAAAGGAAAAAGACAAAAAAAAATCTCTGGCTTTTAAATCATATCTCATTTTTCTGTAAAAAAAGCTGAATAAAAATGTGAAATTTTCAAAAATCAGGTAAGTGGGCCTTTCCTCTTCAAAAGTCTCAATTCCAAAGTAAGATAGAATTCTGATAGGTCAGGATTTATCCTGTCATATGTTGATTGTGTCACTGGACAGGGTCTGAAGAGGTCCCTCAAAGAGGAAATGGGGACTTCAATTCTGCCTGCCAAGTAGTTTCTCCTGAGACTGACTTTCAGTACATGTAGTGTGAGCCTAGAAAGGTTTATTAGAGAACAGAAAAAGATTCTAGTTTAATGTGATTAAGCAGTTTCAGAATGAGTTGCTCACAAAGAAATTAGACCAGTTTTGTCGGGTATTAGGTGGTCTGAGGACTAGTTAGTCAAAATCAGTCCTGATTTCGTAGCTCCAGAGTCATCTTTATAAATTAAGGTGCAATTCATTTCCCATGAAATGATTGTCCCTACTCAGAATGGGGGTTGCTTCAATTCTCATCATGAAGTAATTGTTTCTGTGTTAGAGGAGGTGGTCACATGGTTGATCTATAAATGTCTGCTTTTCTGGAATATAAGGTAACAGTAGATTGAAGACTTCAAAGCATTATGCCAAAAGAGTCTGAAAGTGGTCTTTGTGAAAGCTGGCAATTGCGTAGTCCTGTAAACCTTGAAAATGACTTTATTCTTATCATGATGTCTTCAGTCTTGAAGGGTGTTGACATAGTCTAGGTACCTTTACTGCCAATAAACGTTGCAATATGGATGTTCCTCGAATAATTAGCATGCCTATGTGCAGATTCAAGCAGGAATCTGATCCAGAATTTCAAGGTAATAATATATGTGAAGTGAAGGCAGAGATACTAAGCTTTATCCTGCTTTTAGTTACATATTGGGCACCTGCAGGTCTAGCCTCTATGTCCCTGTGAAAAATTGTCTCTTTACAAGCTGGGCATGGTGATACACACCTATAATTCCAACACTCAGGAGGTGAGGCAGGAGGATCACCATGAGTTAGAGGACAGCCTTGGCTACCTGGTGAGTTCAAGTTGAGCCTGAATTACATAGTGAGACCCTGTCAAAAATCAAAAAGAAAAAAATCTTCCCTTGCCCTTCTTAATCTTGAGGGTAATACAGTGTTGGCCAGTCTGGCTTGTACAGGTAGTACATTAGTATATGAGAAGAGTGTAAACTGTGCCTTGGATCTCTGAAATACATGGTCATAAGCATAGAGAGTAAATGTATGGAATACAGATATAGACAGCCTTTTATCAGTCCTTAGAACTGATAAAAGCTTTCCTTGTCCCCTTTTTACTTAATTTCTTTTATTGTCCCTCAGTTATGCCAAACAAACATAGCTATTGAAGACCCACTGCTGTAATACAAGGAGGTCCTTTAGAGGGTTTATTGGCTTGTGAACTGGACAGATACACTTTTCCTAAAGAAAGATTTGTTATTTCTATGATTTCGGTGGTATCATTTCCTCATTCTTGAATTTTCATCATAAAGTCAAGCAAGAGTCAAGGTAGGCATGTGAAATTGAGTTAACCCCCTGCCAAAAAGAAATGGATTGTTACATAATTTCCAAAGGTATTGAGAGGTAGGACCTTTAAGAGGTGATTAGGCCATAAGGAGTAATGTCATTATTGTGGAAGCAGGCTAGGTTTTAAGGGAGTATGTTCCTGAATGACTGGCTCTCTTTATATTCTTCTCTGTGTTATTCCCTTAGCCATTTTGTGATACAGAAGGAACACTCTAGCCACATGTGGAGCCCTTCAACCTTGAAATTCTCAACCTTGAGAACTGGAAAAAATAAATCTCTGTTCTTTATGAATAACCCAGTCTCAGGTATTGTGTAATTATAGTACAAAATAAGACAGCGTAGTTTATTATTTTGGTTAGTATATTTTCCTTTTGGAACTATATTTGAAATAATGCAGAATGGTTGATTAAATAAGATGTTTCTAGTCACTTACATATAAAATTGGAACTAGGTTTAGTTATAGAAGCCTTTGCTATAAGAATATTTCCAGAAGACAATCATATTCATATTATATCACTGCACTTGCAGCTTTTTTTCTCCCAAGAACATAATTTACCATATGTAAAAGGCTGCTGCAATTTGAATTCCCAGGGATATCTTTATCCAGCATTTTGTCAGAGGAAACATTGCCTTATGCATAATCTGAAATAATTGAAATAATTGGAAATATAATGAGACCAACATTAAGAAACTCCCTTGTGCTTCTTTCTGCTCTGCGAAATAAAATGATCACTGAATGCAGTCATGTTTTAAAATTTAAGCAGACTTGACAAATGAATGTTGTTTTCTAAATGTGCAAAGAGGGCCAATATAAGGTGTTTGGTGTCCCTAAAACAGGTGTTGAAAGAATTTTTTAAGTTTCTCAGTATATTTGCAAGTTTACCATGATGAAGTAGCAATTTGCAATATAAAAGCTGATTACAGAAATCAGGATATAGTTGAAAAGTATTTTTAAAATCTCATATTATTGCTTGTTCTGCTTTTCTGATACATGTCTCATCATTAATAATGTTCTCATGTGTCCTTGAGAAATTTGTTGACTTGTTTTGGGTTTTTTTAGCAGTTGATAAGAATTTGCTTTTATAAAAGTCACTCATTTGTGTGACTCCCAGGATCCATTTTAGTATCTGGCCAAATTTTACATTCTTCTTCGCTTTTTTAAAAAATAGGCTTAGCTTTTATAACAGTTCTAGCTTCATAGGGAAAAAAATGACAAGCAGGTACGAAGTGTTCCCATATAATCTTTGCCTTCATATGCATAACCTCTCCCTTTATAACACTGACATCAGAGTGACGCATTTGTTACACTTAATGAACCTAAACTGACACATCATTACCACCCAGAGTCTAAACTTTACATTAAGGTTCACTCTGTATGTTGTAGATTCTGTGCAGATGATCAACTGTATAAAGGCATGAACCCGCTATTCTTATAAATACAGAGTGGTTTCGTGGCCCTAACAATGCACTGTGCTTGTTTTTCATCCTTTTGCTCCCCCTCCACCCTTATCAACTACTGATGTCTTTACTGTCATCATAATTTTGCCTCTTGAGAATGTCATGTCTTTGTTCACAGATGCCATGTCTATGTAGAAAATACTAAGGAATCAACAACAATAATAAAATCTTATGGTATAAGTATGGCAAGGTTGCAAGGTATGAGATTAATATGCAAAAGCCAAGTGCATTACCATATACCAGCAATTTGCACAGTGAGGTTTGAAATTAATACCACTTAAATTGGCATTATTCAAAATAAAATACTTTTATATAAATAGAATATGTGTACACTCTGAGAAAAATTGCAGAACTCTGATTAGATTAAAAAGCTAAATAAATGGAGATATACTCTATATTCACAGAAGACCTACATTGTAAAGATATTTTCCATAAATGGATCTATAGATTCAATGTAATTTCAACAAAAACCCCAGGAAATAATTTTGTGGACATCAGCACATTGACTCTAAAGCTTATATGGAGAAGGGAAAGACCCAGATTAGCCAACTCAGTATTGAAGGAAAAGAAAAAAGTCAGTAGAGTTACACTACCCAACTTCAAAAGCTATAGTAATCAAGACAGTGTACTGTTAGTGAAAGAATAGGCAAGTAAATCAGTAGAACATGATAAAAAGGCCAGAAACACGCTAACATAAATACGGTTAACTAATCTTTGACAGAGGTAATGCAGTGGAGAAAATACAGTTTTCAACAAATGGTGCTGAAACAGCTGAACAGCCACAAAGAAAAAAGGTTATTCTAGACAAAAACTTTATACTCTTTGCAAATATTAACTCAGAATGCTTCACAGACTATTAAGCAATTAAGCACCTAGAAAACATTATTAACTCTTCCTAAACTTCTAGATGATAACATAGAGAAAATCTAGATGACTTGTAGTTTGGCAATGACTTAGATACAGTGCCATTGGCATGACCTATGAAAGAAGGAATTGATAAGCTGGACTTCATTAAAATTAAAACTTTCTGCTGTATAAAACACATTGTAGAGAAGGAAAAGCTACATACTGGGAGAAATTATTTGCAAAGCACATACTGATAGAGGACTGATAACCACAATATACAAAGAACTTTTAAAACCTGACAGTAAAAAAAATAACCTAATTTAAAATGGGCCAAAGACCTTACTAGACATCTCATTAAAGAAATACATAGTTTGCAAATAAACGTGTAGAGTTGCTCCATATCACAGGTCAACAGCGAAATGCAAAATGAAATGCATGCTTATGAGAATGGCTGTAATCCAGAACACTGAAAATACCAGATACCAGTAAAGTTGGGAACAATAGGCGTGCTCATTTGTTGCTGATGAGAATGTGAGACAGTGCAGCCACTTTGGAAGACAGCTTGGCAGTTCATTACAAAACTTAATGTATTACTCCACTACTGTACAATTCAGCAGTTGAGCTTCTTGCATTCATGTTTATACAAAGATATTTGAAACTTATGAACTGCACAGAGATGTTTATAGTAGCTTTATTCAGAATTTCCAGAATTTGGAAGCAACTAAAATGCTGTCAGTAGGTGAAAGAATCAATAAATTATGGGTCAACCAGAAAATGATTCAGTGCTCAAAGAAATGAGTTTTCACACTAAGAAAAGGCAGAGAAAGCTTAAATGCGTATTACTAAGTGGAACAAAAAGTTCTGAAAAGACTTTTATGATTCCAACTATATGATGTTCTTAATCCCTGGATTCCACCCCATTTTATATTCAAGTGTGGAAGTCACACTGAGGTGAACTGAAAAGCTCGAGCACAGGCAAAGTAAAGCAAGTTGTGTTTCCTTCAGGGTGCATGCTTGAAGGGTCATTCTTAGATCAGTGACTTACACTTTCTGTTGGGGAAGGGGCTAGATTGATGTCAATTATAGACTTATAGTTTCTAAAACCAGAAATATATGGATTCAAATACCATTTATATTATGTACATAACCATTTGTGTAATCTTGGGAATATTTCCCCACTTGTAAAAGAGAATTTAGTCTCACTTTGTAGGAACAAAGTAAAGCATCAGCCAGTGAAATAATGAGTTGTTTGTTTGTTTGCTAATGTAGGTATCTATTAGTTCTCATAATTAGAATCTAAGTATGACAAACCTTTGTCTTTCTTCATAGTGGACAAATCATGACAACAGAATCTACTCTTGTTTGGCAAGTTTGAGTAGAATCAGAGCTTATTGAAGGATATTGGGTAAAGATCCAACCAGGAATAGAGTCCAAAATGCCATCTGGATGGTTTTTGAGAAAATATTATCATATCATTTACACACATGACTCTACATACTGATTTCCAAAAGGGACTTCCCCCTCTATGATTACCATGGGATAGGATTCTTAGGTTTCCTTCTCAAATTACTGCTGGAGGTAAGTTCTGAGCTTGGTGGACAGTGATGGAGCCTGGTCAAATGACATACTGTCCTTCATAGAAGGTTGGGGAAACAAGTTTTCTAAGTTGCTGACTTAGGGAAGTAGGATCAGTAAGGAAGGTAATTCTTCAGACATTTCAAGGACATTGAAAAAGTACTAGGCAAAAAATATTATAATACTCCAGGGACATTTTTGTGGCAGTGCATTGATTCATAAATACAAAAATATATCCAAATTAAAAGGAAGGTGACTTTGTTTCATTAGTCTTAACTTCAAACAATGTGTTTTATCTTTAAAGTAGATTGTATTTATAGACATATATGTGTCACTTTTATCATTCAGCTTTTTGTCTTTATGTGCATACATATATATGTACACACACATATATGCATGTATAGGATGTCTTATCATAAACACAAAACTTAAGCAAATTAAACATTTTTCTTATTCCCAAACCTTTATCATGTATCTTCACTAACTGACCTGTTTCTCTACTTAGAATGTTGAAATTACTTTTCTCTTTCATAAAATGGAAACCTACCACAATTTCATTTCTGATATTTTTTTCTTTAGCTGTTATTTTCATATTCCTGATATTTTGACCATTAGTAATCATCCTCTTACCTGCTAACCTGAAATTGTCACTCAATTTTCTGTGTAGGAAATTATGCTAGCACTCTGATTCTACTAAAAATGGCTCTTTTTTAAAATAGAACTTCTTGCCTGTTATAAAAACAATATGTAATTTTAAAAACAAGAATCACTTGCCCTAGTCATATTCTTTAGAGTTAGTATTTTCATGTGTTTTCTTCCTGGTACACACTTAGAGGTGGGCATTTGCAATAAAGAAAACAGAGCAATTTCTTTTTTTCCAAAAGTGGAATGATAAATGTTGAATCCTGCTTTCTTCATTTATGTCATGAGCTGTTTCCCATGTCACTGAGAGTCCCTAATGAGTGGCATTATCATCTACATTTGTTACATAACAAGGGAGTTGCAGAAATACTTAAAAAGTTGTTCATCCTCATAAAGCTAGCAAATTGTAGAACTGTGATGTAAACTGAGATCTAGTTCTGGAGTGTGTGCTTTTAACTATTATGCTTCCTGTCATTCTGAAACATGATTGGCAGTGTCTATATGATAATTGTTTATTAGTGTTTATTTTGTTTTCTTTCCTTATAGCTTTATTTTGTGAACAGTTTCTTTGGCCATTACAATAATTTGCAAACATAGTATTTGTTGGCTGCATAAGGTCCATTTGTATGATTGTATGAATCTGAGACTGGCTTCAGTTTTTAAGATGGTAAATAGTGCTCATTAGGATCCCTATCTGGACCTCAGTATGAAGTGTCTGCAGAGCCAGCATTTCCATCATAGCATTAACAATGTGCTTCTTTTGTGAAAGAGGAAATACTCTGCAGGTTACAAGACAGGCGGTCATTTTAATAAATTGATCTCTGGAAAGCCATGAGAAATCTAGCTATTCTGAACTACTTATAAAGGCAGGCAAAACGCAAGCCGTTTTATAGCCAGCATCCAGATTTGCCAAGTTAGCATGAAAAAAGACAAATGAAGTAAATGGGTAGGAAAACAATACCGAAAGAAAAAAGAATTCTGTTGCAGTGAGATACAAGCATCTTTATGATGTGAGATCCCTTTCGTGAGGAAGAATCTATGGAGAGATACTCAGGATATACTGACAAGAGTACTTGTTGGTCTCTTATCAATGGACTGAGCTGAGACGGAGAAAGAAATCTGATACATTTATTCAGTGACAGAAATGGTATTCAGTAGCACCTGTGGAAGAGAATTCTTTTTACTTCTGGGTAGAGCCTGGCCTCCTATTTGATGGAGACTCCAGTGGAAGAGGTGATACTAACTGTAGTTACACAGATTATTCAGAAGAATCTCTGAAATGCTATTATAAAATTTTATATATTTGAGTGCTTCAATATTGGCAGCTCATATATTTACATTTGTTGTTTTTTATAGTCTCAACTTTATTAATTTCAGCTCTAATCTTTATGATTTCCCTCCCTAGACTGGGTTTGAGTTTGGACTATTGTTTTTGAGTATCTTGAGGTTTATCGTTAAGATCATTAGGTTATTTGCATTCACTCTTTTTCTGATGTGAACACTAACTGCAAAAAACTTCTCTCCTGGGACTACTTTCATTGTGTTTCAAAGGTTTTGATGTGTGGAACTGGTGCTGTCATTTGATTCTAGGAGTTGTTTAATTTATTTTATTTCTCCCTTTTATTTCTTCTGTGACCCATTGAGTGTTCCGGAGTGTGTTATTAAATTTCCAGGTGTTTATTAATTTTCTCATTTCTGGTTTCAGTGCACAGTGACCTGATAACATACATGGGGGTGATTTTGATTCTTGTGTATTTATTTATTTATTGTTTTTTGAGAAAAGGTCTTGCTTTTCAAGGTTCAGACTAACTTGAACTCACTGAGTAGCGTAGTCTGGCCTCAAAATATGCACCAACCCTCCTGCCTCAGCCTCCCAAGTACTAGGGTTACAGCATATGCACCACCATGCTTGGCTATTCTATATTTCTTGAAGCCGGCTTTGTGGACTAGCAAATGGTCTATTTTGGAGAAAGTTACTTGTGTTGCTGAGAAGAGTGTATATTCTGTTATTGTAGTGTACAACATTCTGTAGATATCTATAAAGTCCATTTGTTGAAAGGTATAGTTCAGCTCTGATATTTCTCTGTTGATTTTTTGTTTAGTTGATCCATCTCTTTGTGAAAGTGGATTATTAAGGTCACCAGCTATGATTGTGTTGGTATTTATTTGGTGTTTTATGTCCAGCCATATTTGTTTTATGAAGTTGACTGCACTAATATTCAAGTCATATGTAATTACAATTGTTAACTCTTGTTGAATTGTTTCCTTAACTGATATGTAGTGACCTTTTTGCTTCTGATTAGTTTTAGCTTGAAGCTTTCTTTTTCTGAGAATAAGATTGCTAATCTTGCTTGCTTTAGAGATTCTAATCCATAAATACTGTTTTTGAATCTTTTAAGTTTTTAGTCTGTGGATTTCTTTTTGGATTGGATGAGTTTCTTGAGTGCAACAGACTGTTGGATTCTGTGTTCTTTGTTGGTTTGTTTTTGATCCAGACTGCCAGTCTGTGTCTTTTTACCAGGGACATTAGACCATTAACATAGACCATTATTAGTGAAAAGTCCTGATTTGTTCCTGTCATTGCATTTTTTCTGTTGATAACTCCTTTATTTGTTTGTTTTGTTGTTAACATTTGCCTTCTTAGATGTATTCATTTCATCTGAATTTTTGACCTTGTTGGTTTTCTTGTCTGTCTAGGATATTCCATGTGTATTTTTTTATAGTGCTGGCTTGGTATTCATTTATTTCTTAAGATATTTTTTGTTATGGAATGACCTTATTTCCCCATGAATTTTGAATGATAGTTTTATAGGATATATTAGTCTAGTTTGGAAATTATTTGCTTTTAGGACTTGAAATCCTTTACTCCAAGCTGTGCTAATCTGAAGTTTGTGTTAAGAAGTCTGCTTAATACTGATGTGACTACTTTTATGAGTGATTTTTTGGTTGTTTTTTTGTTTTGTTAGGTTTTTTTTTTTTTTTTTTTTTTTTTGCTTGTCTCAAAGGTTTTAAGATTCTTTCTTGTTGGACATTTTTTAGTAATTTTTGCAGTACATAATGATTACATTCATTATAGGGAATTGGAATACATATATAACATGTCTCAATTTTTTCCCCCTCCAGTGTGTTCTGATTTTGTCCCAGTTCTGGCTTTCATTTCCTTCTGCCTTTCTCAGCTGGCTGTTTGCTTGCTCTGTGAGAAGCTACCAACATTGGGTTGAGATTTCTTTCTCTGATAGCTTGTTCTTTTCCTTCAGTACTATGAAAACCTCAAGCCATTCTCTCCTGATCTGTAAAGCTTCTGCTGAGAAGCCAGCTGTCAGGAGGATTGGGACATCCCTATATTACTGCTTTATTCCCCTTTAGCTTTGGCAATCTTCCCTTTGTGATCCATTTGTAAAATCTTAAGTTTAAGATGTCCTATTGTAGGCTTGGTTGAGCTAAATTTGGTTGATGAACTTTGACCTTCCTGTATCTGGGTATTTGTTACCTTCTTCGAATTTGGCAAGTTTCTGTTATTATTTATTTGAATAAGCTTTCTATTCCTTTGGTATTCTCAAGTCTTTCTTGAACCCCAGCACCCTGAATATTTTGCTCTTTTAATATTGTCTCAAAGTTTTGATACCATTTCTTCATTTCTGTTCATTTTTTTTCCCTTCTATTGTGTATTTTCAAGTAGCCTGTCTTTGAGCCTATTAATTCTTCTTTCTGTTTGACTGATCTTGGTATTGATACCATCTGTTTTTAAATATACCAAGAATACTTCTCAGTTCAAAAATTTTTACTTGATTTTAATCACCTTCACTTTTGTGTTAAGTTTCTGTGTTACCTTATTGAAACTTTTTTTCCCCCAAACACATTGAGTTTCCATAAAATAGCTGCTTTAAATTCTCAAGAGTTCTCATATACTGATTATTGCTTGGTCAATTTCTGATTCCTCATTTTGATACTGAGATTATGGTTTGCTGGGAGCTTTTTAAGTTTGTTGGTATGTAACATCTGGGAATTCTACTGTCAAGTATTCCATTTTTCCTAATGTCATTTTGTTGCTTTGTGCCTTTCTTTCTAGAAATTCTTAGCAAGATATTTACTTTTTCTAGCATCATTACTTCCACAAGAGAACACCCCAAGTGCCAGAAATCTGTTATTGTTTGTTACTGTTTCAGTACAAGAGGACAGTCCCAGCCCACTTTTGTCCAAAATATTATGTTGGTTTTTTGTTTGAAAAGAAGGAAGAGAGTCCTAGAGAAGAGTAGTCTGTCCCATAAGCCTCTCCCTAAGGTAGACCCAGATGCCTATCGGCCTGTGAGTGTATATCACTGGATTTAACCTGGCTTTGCGCAGAATCACTGTCTCTGAACCATGCTCATGCTCCTATGTAATATTTGTGGTCACGAAAAAACCATGAAGATGTGTCACATCCTGAGCCTCCAGTCTAGCAAGATCAGTATAACACTGGTTTAGGAGCATGGCCAAAACTTCCTAGGGCTGTCTGTTGCTGAGGTGAATTTATGTCCCAGGACCACCACAGTTAGCTAGCTACAGGTGATGATACTAGGAATAAAAGTCCAATAGGCTGAAGCTGCATATCTTCCTCCAGCAATGGAGCTGTTGTAGGCTTCATCATAGGCAGGTCTAGGAACAGTGCCCATTATTACATTCCCAATGGTCAGTCTTACCAGCCCAGCACTGAGTTCCATGGTGAAGTCATGGACTTACTACCCTGTCATACCCCCAGCAGTTTTGTCTTATAATTTACTATGCTGCCCAAGGTTGGGATAGCATTGTTGAAAGCAGACCCTTGTCATTTGGGCTGCTGCTAATTAAGCATGGTTCTGCCAAAGTCTCACAGCTGTAAAGACCAGCATAGTCTTGGGTACACAGTGGCCCAAACTGCAGCTGTGATGATTCAGGCTAAAATATAAGCCTGTCTTTTTTTTGGTAGAGGTCTCTGGTGCTGGCACTGATCTAGAACTCATCTGTGAGCACTGGCCCGGTGTAGCTGCTCTGCCTGATGCTAGAGGATAGATGATAGAGACCCTTGGCTACCAAAGCTGCTCTTTGACTAGGTCACACCTGAGTCTTAGTAACACAGAGTTAGAAGGAAGGCACATGTTCCCAGGCACACTCCAACACTGAAACTGGTATGACCAATACTTGGGTCTGTCCGGTGGGCACATGGTTTTCTGCTTGACGCAGAGCTTGTCCATAGGCTCTACCTGTGAGTTCTGAACTCCACACAGTATCTTTAGTTTCAACTGGGTAATTATCCTTTCTGTGGTAGATCTGGCACTGTAAGCTGGGACAGAGGCCTGTGCTAGTTATTTGTGCCTTGCGAGTAGAATCCTGCTTTCAACTCTGACCTCCTCACCTCAGGTCAGAGGCGGGTGGGCGGGTACAATCAGCGAGGCAGTCAACTACCTGGTCTAACCATGAAGTAGCTCAGTCGAACAGCTCAGTTTGTGATAGGAATTGTGAGACTTTGCCCGGATCTGAGTTACTGTGGCTGATCTGGTACTGGGGTCTCAAGTTTAAGACTTACACATAGTAATCCCTCCTCAAGTGAAGGTGTTTGTCTACATTGAGCTGCTTGGAGTTAAGAGTGATGCGGCTCTTTTGTGCCTGCCTTTGTCAGCACATCTTTTCAGTTTGTTACACTGAAAGAGGGCAGCTTTGGTGAGTTGTTAAAAATGTACTTTTTCTGCCTAATACGTCTATTATTTGATCTTATTCATCTTTCTTTATCTGTATCCACTTCCTTGTCTTATTTATTAAATTTCTCCTATCAATTTTAAATTTTTTCCTTTCAAGAAATACCATTAGGCTGTTTTTCAAATCTGTTTGTAAGTTTTACATGCTATGGTTTCCAGGACATAATTTGATCACTTCTTTTATTTCTTGAAATATACCTTGGCTGGGGATGTAGCTCAGCAGTATAACAGCTGCCTGGCAAACACAAGACCTTGGGTTCAATCCTTGTACCAAAAAGAAAAGAATATAGATATCATATAATCTTCTGTAATGAAAATGTCTCCAGTTTTGCATGTCTGTTTCTGTTTTTTCTGTTGTGTCTCTCACATATTGAAGTAATTTTATGAGGACAACTCATGCTATCCCTGAACATTTGTGGAAGTTCTTTGATGCTGGGCCTGAAAGTGTGTTCCTACAAAGAAGATTATTAGTGAGACGCTACAAGTGTGAATTCCAATCCCAAACATACCTAAGTGTGTGCCTGTGATTAGGTATTCTCAGAGGTACCTGTTTTGACACTCTTCATGCCAGAATCTGAGCAAAGGCCAGACCAGGCAAACTGGCACCAGGCACCTACTCGATGCTACGCTAGGATGCCTGTCTGCTATTTTGTTTTGTCCTGTCCTGTCCTATGCTGTCCTGTGCCCCCCCCCAGTTTATTTACTTCAGAGGAGCAGCAGGGAAGGGGGGAAGAATTTTAGAGGGTTCTGACACAGCCTCCTGTCTTATAGGACCCCAGACATGTCCTCTAACCCCAGGACGACCCAGGTGAAAGCACAAGCTTTTGTCTAGACTAGCAATGGCAAACGTTTTAGAGCTTGCAGTGATAACAAACAGTCCGCTGTGGCACATGTACAGTAGGTTCACTGACACTGATCTAGACCTATGAGGGTGGTTAGAGCCTCAGGGGACACCCTTTCTTCAGGGCTAGCTGAGCAAGAAGCTCCAGGAGTCCTTGCTACCTCCGAGAATTCACTTATTCTGACATAACTCACATGATTAAATTATGTTTTACAATATATATAGTCAGCATTTTTAGTCTGTACTGAGAAAGCTTTTTCTGGGATCTAGAAAAAATGGGAGTTAGACTTTTTCTATTTAAAAAAAGTGTGTTAAATCTTATGTGAGAAGTTATATTCATAGATATGCTCTGTTTTTTAGATCATAGTCAAGGGCAGAGAAATAAGTGAAAAAACACTGTTTCGGGTTAACTCTGATGCCTAGGGCCCTATGCTTATGATATCAATCTACCACTTCTATGAGGTAGATTTTTATCATTTCTGTGGTAAAGATGCAGTCACTGAAGCTTGGGAGAGGTTCGAGAGACATAGTCAAGGTCGTATAACAGATAATTCATAATGCCTACCTTGGGTCATCAAGCAGAAATTGCTTGATGAAGTGTGTTTATTCTGGATACATTCCTGTTTTACAGGAAACTCTTAAATTTCTATTTAAATTGTATTGTATACCAGTGAGATGTTACCATATTAAAAAGGTAATATCTCGGGGAATACTAAAAGCTGTTTACTCTTCCTCTTTACTGCTTTGCATCCTCTAAGAAAAATTACCCTTAGACTACTTCCCAAGGATTTTTCTGGTTATCAAATTCTAAAACACATTTGCTAGCCTAGTTGAGAGGAAAAACTATGGTCAAGGACTTTAGAAACGAATTGCTGGGCACAGATGCCTTTTATTCTGTAGAGCATTCCAAACCACTTCTGTCCCACAGCCTCAACCAAGCGGGTGGTGTTTGCTTCTTACAGTGTTAGCACACATTTCTTCTCCCTGTGAGAGTGTTTTTTGTTTGTTTTTCAAGATATATACTTTCCCTTACCCATTTGTTGTGGTTTAGATCTAAAATGCCCAGCAGAGTCTCATGTGTTTGGAAAGTGAGGGATCCTGGGGTCACTGTGCTAACCAGTGGATTTATCCATTGATGAATATAGTGGCTGAATGTGCTGTTAGGAGATGGAGCTGCGCGGTGGGCTGGTCATTGGAGACATCACCCCGAAGGATATGTTCTTGTTCATAGCTCCTCCCTTCTCTCTTCTTTTCTCCATTTTCTGCCCTTCCCAGCTACCCTGTGGAGAGCACCTCTCCTCTTTCAGGCCCTTCTGCCACACCATTTCTGCTTTGGAGCCCTCCAGCCATGGTCTGAGTCCTCTAAAAACCATGAGCCAAACGAACCTTTCCTAACCCGTGGGTGTCTAGAAGCTGAATAATACACAGTTGACCTGAATGTTATAGATCAGACTTCGTATTAACTTTTTGTGCTGGTGTTTAGAATACTGCTTTCTCAGGCTGTCTTTCCAAAGGACCTTTTTTTCTTGTGTACCATTATTTCCCTACTACCAGTTTGTTTGATAGATATTGAAACTGCAGCATGTTCATTTTCTTCTAAAATGAGTTTTCATTCTCCTAAAGTAACAGGGTTTGTTAGTCCAGAGACCAGGAGCCAAGAACACGAATCCGAGGAGGGCGCTCTTACTCAAGTTCAAAAGTAGCCAGTTTCCTTGACAATGTTTTTCCTCTAGTCATTGAGATCTGCACTGCTGCCTTCAGGAGCTCCACTGAAGTCCTCCCCATCATCTGATGTTTCTAAGACCAGGCTCTAAAAAGGAATGTGCGTTACCACCATTCAGAGCTTAACCCATTCTTACCTGGCTCTGCCCCCTTAGGACAGCCCACTTCACTTCCCTTGCCTCTGGAAGTTCTGGCCAAAAGGAGACATGAGGGAAGCCAGTTTTCAGCTTGACACTAGTCTTAATAATCTTTTTTTTTTTTTTTTTTTTTTTTTTTTGGTGGGGACAGGGGACAGTGAAAACCAACTTACAAATCTTTTATGAACCAATCCATAATAACAAAGAGGACAATACACTCATTTATATGCCAGTCATTTATCTCATAATACCAGACTTTATGTCTCCATGGCACTTTAATTTTGTTAGCTAATAGGAACCTATTCTAGAAAGTACTTTGGTCTGGGTTTTGTTTGATTTAACTTTTCCTTAACTAAAGTTAGGTGTGTTTTTAATACTTCCTTGATTTCTACCTACTGTCTTTTCTCATTTATGAAATGACTTTGAAAACTTTGTATATTTACAGTGTATATATATATATATATATATATATATATATCCTCAGATTGGTTAAGGATTCAGTGATAGTGAAATTCAGAAAATAAAAGTTTTTTGCTTACTTTATACCCAATTTCCCTTTGAAGGATTAATGAGCATTGCTCCTTCCAAAATTAAAAAGCAACCTAAAGAGAGATAAAACTACTCATAAAAGTTAATTCCTTTTTTCTGCCTCTTCTGTTGGCATTAGTTTTGTCCTCTTGCTCTTCTCCTTTTTTCTTCTCTCTTCCTAGCTGAGTTTCTGTAATCTCAGGAGAGAGTAAAAATTCATTTTCTAAGAATTTACTTCATTTGCGTATTGGAAATAAGAATTGGGAAATAGTTCTCACTCTGTGCTGTTGTTTTGATCATGTACTTTAGAAAGGAGTATACAGCAGAAGTTTTGAGGCTGAGCATTAGCTTTTTCTATTTCTCTGAGTGCCCCAAGTCATCATTTACTCTGCAGTCATCTTGGTTAATTTTCAGATTCAATGGGTAAAAACCAACTTTTTAAACTTCAGTGTCTAACTTACAAAATGCTGCACATTCAGGGAGATAAAATGAGAAGTTCTTTATATAACATATAGTAGCTGTCCCACAGTGCCTGGGACAGTTATCTGCTCCATACCAAAATCCATGAAAGCTTGTCTGTTGTATAAATCACATGCTAATTTGCATATAGCCTATGCATATTCTCTACTAGTTTTCAAATCATCTCTAGATTTCCTAATATAATTTAAATGCATTATATACAGTATATATATATATATATATATATATATATATACTATAGTTGTTATACTGTATTGTTTTGGACAGTTGTTTTGGATAATGACAAAATAGTCTGGGCATGTTAAATATGAAAGCAGTACCTTCCCTTGAGTGTTTTTAGTACTTAGTTGGCTGAACCTACAGATGTGGAATTCATAGATACAGAAAGCCAACTGTAATCTAAAATTAATTAAGGCTGGCATCAGAAGTCTAGCTGAAATGCACTGGTGTTAGTGCCTCTGTTCCTAATCGCTTGCCATATCCAGAGATGAATGTACCTTAACTAGCTTTGTTTAAGCCACGGATGACACCTTGCCTAGTGGACTTTCCTTATTTTGCAGACAAGTCCCATTTGTGTTTGTTTTTTCTTATGTAAAAATTATACTTGAAATGTAGGTAGATTTATTAATCTAAAATGATTTTCTTATAACTACTATTAAACCTTTATCAAATATGTATCATCTTCTCCCACACAACTAGACTTCAATCCTTCCAATACTATCATATCTCAAGTTCAATGCAGTACTTTATTCACTAGAGCTGAATAACATTGCTAAGTAGTTTGTCAGTTATGAACATATGCTACGTAGCCCAGCCTTGTGTAGGAATTTCTGGAGGTGTTTCTATTTTGTTCTCGTACAGATGCTATTATAATAGTAGTTAAGATACATCAATGTGAGTAGAAATTTACTGTATAGTGAAATGTTCATACATTATTGCAGAAATTTATGAACACCTTATAATATTGCTATGTTTCCTAATTGAAAATGACTGGATATATTGACACAGATGTACAGATTTTTAAATATGACAGAACTCAGGAGACAGATTCAGAGGTATGGCCTAGGAATCAGATATGTGTGGTGTGAAATCTCAGCCCCTCTACACACTGGCCATAGTACCTCAGGGTAAACATGTCTCACTTGTATAATACTGTGTTATTTACCTTTTGGATATTGTGATGATAAAGTCAATCAGTGTGTGGAAAGTCTTTAGACTATGATAAATGATAAACAGATGCTTATCACTTTGTCCTTAATCCTGAACATCTACTTCTATTACTGTTGGAGACTGAACCCCTGTCTCCCAGGCCTGTTCTTTGTTTGAGTTCTGATTCAAAAGCCCACTTTGTGTTGAGTATTATAAAATGAAGACAATATGGTCAATATCTGTTTTTTCATGTTTCTTGTTCTGCTTGCTATCACAAAATATGTTGGATAACTCTGTGACTAGCTGGCCAAACTTTCTGATGAGGTCATGTTTCTTGAAAAGAGGATCATCTTTTATAGATTATTTAGCTATTTTGTTTAGCTTCTGTGAATAGAATATCAAGTTGAACTTGTTATGCAATTATTAATTGGATATTTCATTGGCAGATAGAAAAGAAGATATATTAATGAGAGAACATTTCTGTAAGATCAGCTAGTTGATGACAAAAATACCTTTAAAAACTATAAATCCAATTGCTGGGCATGGAGGTGCACTCCTGTAATTCTAGCATTCAGGAGGCTGAGGCAGAAGGATCGTCATGAATTCGAGACTAACTTGGCTACATAATTAGTTCAAAGCCAGCCTGAACTATATAGAAAGACTCTGCCTCAGAAAACAAAAGTTTTAATTCCAGAGGAGCATATTGGCAAGAAGAAATGACTGTACTGGTAGAAAAGAGAAAAGGAGAGTAAAACCAGTTGATCTTGCATGTGCTTCCCAATCCAAAGACCTGTCATCCTTCGGGAGACAAAAGCAAAAAAAAAAAAAAAAGAAAAAATCAAACCTCAGTGTAAAAATAATTGCAGGATGATCTTTTTTGTATGGCACTTATCTGTGAAATCATGTTTTTTATATTCAAACTGCACAAACCCACTCAGACTCACATTGGAATTCTAATGTTTATAACTGAATCTGTAAGAGTGATTGCTTGCCAAATCTTCCTGCTAGCTGTACTAATGTTATAACTATTTTCTGTGATCTCTGGTAATCTACTTTTGCCATATTATAGCTCCAGGTTAATACAACACAAACAACATTATTTAGGCTTGTGTCTTAAGGGCATGAAGCTCTAACTTTGGGTGAAAATGACCCAATATATTGCTAAGGTTTATTGCTTTTTGTTAGTTCTCATTTTTCCCTACCCCAAGTTAATGAATGTTCTATAAAACTTAAAACTGCTGGCTTCTAAAAATATGCCCTCTTTATTGTCTGAAAAAAAAAATAGAGGAAGGAAAATTTCACCAGCTACAAAACTAAAACAAAACAAAAAAATAGAAAGAAAGAAAAGGTGGACAGTTCACTTGGGACTTCTGGTACACCTATGGCAGCGCCAAGGCCTGCATGGACTGCAGCATCATTTCTGTACCCGCTCATGGTGCCCAGGGTTAGATGCAGGTGCCTGTTTTAAACATTCTCATTGCTTGGTCCTCACTTTCCTGCCACCACAGGTGTTCACAGTGATGCTGTGGAACAAGAGTCAGCATCTTGATTTTTGAACAGGAAAGTAACACAACAGCCATAAATAGAAAAGAAGGACTTCTTGGTAGAATGCTAGTTATTAAAACAAAACAAAAAAGGAAAAAGTCACGTATTTTATAGGCTTTGTTCTAACAAATATCTCCAGCTGCCCCACTCCCAGCAGCCGGAGCCTTTTCTACAGGAGGCTCAGCAGAGTGCTAATTCAGAAAGAAGGTAGAAAGTGAAAGTGTTCCGGCTGGAAGTGGAAAATTTCCTGCCCCTGCTTCCTGCTTTGTCCCCGTGCCGCCTCTCTCCTGCCCGTGCGGAGGCAGCCCTGCTGGTGCAGGCATTCCTACTGTGAGCCCCCGCGCTGCACTTTCCCTTTGCTAAGTGCTACTTTTGCCGTCCCATAAAAGCTCTGGGCCTGCTCCTAGAAAAACTAATATTGACCTGAAATTTTATATTGATACTTCTGGGCCTTCTTAGACTGCGCCACTGCTCCATTACCATCCCCATCGGGGTAATGAAGAGTTCCTCCGACCCAAACCCTTTAAAAAGTCAGACTGTATCTTTCACACTACACAAAATAAGTGAGAACAGTAACAACAAGTGAACTACTAAAATGCACTACCCCTCGTTACTTTAAATACAACTTGGAATGAAATGTGAGAACCTTAGATGCTGGTTTTAATTCTCCGGCTATACATTCTGCGTGGACTTGTGCTTTCCTTCATCACTGTCTTCTTCGGGCCTCAGCTTCTGCATCTCTAAGCTGACCCTACTGTTCTGCGCTCACTTTGAGTGCTGTGTGACTCGGTGCGCCAGACCGAAGTGAGCACGTGATCAGGAGCCCTCTCTCCACCTACGAAGACCGTGTGCTCTTTGTGCCCAGTCATTTCATTCACTTAGACCACGTATGCATTTGTAGTTGATAAGTCAGCATCAGCAAGTGTATACATAGAGACAGTTTGAGTTTGAATTATTAAATCTTTTCTTGTTTTTTAGTTTAGCTGTTTCTGTTCTCTACTTGCATTTTCATCACTCTGTCCCAAGCAAAAAGAAAATTGATGTATCAACTTCCCTCCTTACATCACTTAAGCGACCAGTGATGCTCTTAATGCAGTGGCAGCGTGTCGGTCTTATAAAGTGGATTGCCAATTCCCTGAATTAAGTTATATGTAAATAAAGTGGAGTAAGCAGAGGAGGAGATGAAGAGGCTGCCAGGTGAGTGTGCAGAGTGCTAACGTAGAGGGACACTCACTTATAGGGACAGAGCAGCACAGCTCTGAAGAGGAAGGGCAGAGTAGCACGTGTCATTCATGAATTTTACAGCCTATTTCTCCTTAGCTTCCCTCCTTGAAACGAACCATTTTATTTCTCCTCCTGAGGGGGAAAAAAAAAAGAATTTTTAATTTGAGTATTTATATCTCCCAGACTATAAATCCCAACCATGATGATGAGCTTGTAAAATGAATATTAGACATCAACTTTGCAACAGGTATAGTAGAAGAAGTTTTGTAAATTTTATCTCTTTGGGTCGGGGATTTAGCTCAGTGGCGTAAGCGCCTGCCTGGCAAGTGTGAGGTTGTAAGTTCAAGCCTCGGTACCGCAAAAGCAAAAAAAAAAAAAAAATTTATTTAATCCTTTCAATGACCCTTTAGGACTTGTGCAGCTACTTCTATTTTTCTTGTGAGGAAACTGAAGTTCAGAGAGGTTAAATCAAATGCATATACACAGCAAACTATAAAGCAAGGATCCACGCACAGGTTACTGGATTCTGACACTGTAATACACGCGCTGTTATGGCACGTGCCCACTGGGATGCCGGTCAGCACCTGGTAAAACAGTAGTGGGATTTACGGCATCCTGGCTTTGGAATCAGCCTGTAGCTGAATCTGCTATTACTGCTGCTCCTCATTTTCTGCAGATGAGTACAAGTTGTGAGATAATTTTTGAAGTTAAAGGCATTCCTAGAATAGAGAACAAAAAGTAGCATGTTTCTCGAGAGGTTTTTTTTTTTTTTAACCTTGATTTGCTTTTAATTCATCACTGCCTGGTACATTGGAGAAACCCAGTGAATACATCAAATAAAAGGCTACCTAGTTGCATACATAAATGAAAAGCAGCTTGTTATACAGTGATTAAATGAACTGATTTTGTAGTAGTAACCACACAGAAAGCAAAACTATAGCCTTCTACACTGGTATGACTTTGTTGTCTATATTCCAGGAACAAAATGTCACATACCTTTGTATATAACTCTTTGAAACTCTTGCTAGCATTTAATATTCCATTTCCTAAATCCTTCATGCACTTACAAGTAAGTGTTTATTACCCTACTTTCACTGGGAAAAGGACTAATTTTACGTCGTAGTGATTGCACCTGCCCTGTGACAAAGCCTTGATTTTTAAGCGGGGGGGGGGGCATTTTCCAATTTAATAGCTCAAGGAAGAAGACTCTCTAGGGGAACTGTGACACAGTTTTACAGTTTACTCACTGAGAGTTTGTCCTTCAGTACTAAAATGGGGAAGGAAAAATATGGGAGGAGAAACAGAATAGCTGAGCTCGAAGGTCATCAGTGACACCAAGAGGAGTAAAAATGATAAAGTGAACATGAAAAGTTGAATTCAGTGAAAAATGAAATAGAGATGCTCTCAGCAAGGAAAAAGTAAGGGGAAAAGTGCAGAGAGGAAATTTTTCTTAATACATTTGGGGGGATGGGAAGAAAGACTATACGAGTGAGTAACTAACACCGTGTAACCCTTATCAAACTTTAGAATAAAGTTCTTGAAGATGTAGGTCATTGGGAGCTCAGCGTTAGAAGACAAGCCTACTTTCTTGGAAGATACCTGCCACCCCAAGAAGAAAATCTGTTAGTCAGTTTATATCTTTAAGTGCTTGATTCTAAACAAACAGCATAAATTAGAGATGCTGCTGGTATAGGAAGAATACCTTCTAAGCAGTGGAAGAGAAAGCTTTAAGCAGGGTGGATTTCGGTTCCTGTGCTGACCTTTCCTGAGACTATAATTTTATCAGTATGAGTAGCATGGTCCCCCTTATAATACTACGTACTTCTTTCTTTGCCCTTTTATTGGGAAAAATCATTCATTATTTAGAAGTAGAACTAATAAAATGTGCGTAACTCAGTTTGTTTTTGCAGTGTCTGAGTGTTGTGTTTAAATGGAAGTCTTGACAGAAATAGGATGCTGCCTCACACATGGGCCTTATGCTGTTAGGTTGTTGTGAGAAATCTTTAGCCTCTGTGTCTACATCTAATGTCTATATGTCTATACGACTAACTCAGACTCTTTATAAAGTGTTCTAAAGTATGAAGGTAGGTTTCATTTTCGTGCCATTAGAAATAGAACAACAGCCTGGTGTGGTGGCACATGCCTGTAATCACAGCACTTGCGAGGCTGAGGCAGGAGAATTGCTGCAAGTTGAGGTCAGCCAGGACTATGTAGGGAGTTCCAGACCAGCCTGAACCACATAGCAAGACTGTCTCAAAAAAACAAAAAGAAAGAAATAGAACAACAGTAAAAACCACTTACTGTCTCAAATATGAGAGCTCTTTTTATTTAATTTAGTAGCAAGATTTTGGTAATGAGACTTTTTTCTTTATTCCCACATACTTAGTTTTGGTCCTTTATCATGTAAAAGATGATGAGAGAGAACAAAATGAACCAATGACCAAGCTTTGCCCTGAGGTAATAAATTAAAAGACTGTCACTAAAACCATTCATGTCCACTCCTTTTTTTTTCCCCAAATGTTCTTGCTGTGACCTACTTCTACGGATAAGAAAAATGATTTTGCCATCCTTCTATGACATTATAGCTATAGTGAACTATTCCCAAGTGTCTTGTGTGGGGGACCTCCAGAGGATAAGCATTAATTATTTTCAGACTGCTGATGAATCACCTCGGTGGTGTCTCTGTTTGTCTTCTAAGACTGCATCATCACTCTCTAATTATAGGTGATCTTGTGGGATTATATCTTCGAAGCTGTTAGACTGGGATGACACAGTATGCATGGCATGGAAAGCAGTCACTTCAGCGATTGGTGAGCCAAGGTGATTGCTAAGATCCAAATTATGCCAGGGTTCAGATAACACTTGGAATAATGTTCACCGTGTCACTGTCACCACCTGCCTAATTCTCACATTTTTTAAATCATTTGCTGAGTTGAGGTCATCTTTAAGCTTATGTTGTTCCAAAAAAATAGTTAATCACTTAATTCTAATTCTTGGAATCATTACCTCAACAAATAACTTTTGTAAGAAGCAGAAAATCACCGTGGAATCCCCAGAAGCCTTTGTGATGGTTA